GCTCTGTGATCCTCCACTAACTCCCCTCCTCTAACTGGGCTTTTCTCCTGTCACTCACAGAGTGTGGGAGGGCCTCCTCCCCTCCTGAGCCTTCTGACTTCCTCGGAAAAGCTGGCAGTTCACCAGGACAGAGCAGCACTTAACCTGCTTGAAGACTAGGTCAGCTCTAAAGCCTCATTTGGGTTTGTGGAGGTGCTAGGAGGCACTACCCTGAGAAAGAGGAGAAAAGGCAGGTGGAATTCACTGCTACATGTTGCAGTTTTCATAGAAGTGCCTTCTGCTTAGCTGGGTCTTCCTGACTGTGGTGGCTAATAAGAGCAGAATGGACTAAGCCCCAGGCACTAGTGGCCCGAAGTCCTTGGCCCTCACCACAACCCCTTGTTCTACAGCCCTGGCTCCTAGGCGGAAGCCTGCTGTGGCCCTGTGTGCTTTCTCCGCGTGCCTTGAGGAGACTGGCCTTGCGAGGGTCCCCTGCCCCACTAATCATCATTCGCTGCCCCTCCCTGCAGCACATCGTCACCTCTTGCCCTGCTGACAGACTCTCTGTAAGTCTTCATCTGAGTGACAGTCCTGGAGAATCCAGCTGCGGGCTTGAAAGGGAAGGAGGGCCTGCACATTATCCCCTCAGCGTGCGCAGTCACTTGCTGGCAGCTCGCAGGACACTTTCATGTTGTCTCAACAAAGAGAAGGGCTGCCAAGAGTGCGTAACGTTCCGTTCACAATCCTCAGGCTGGCAGTGTGGCACCCACCATGGGAGCAACCCAGGGCAGCTAAAAATGCCCCACTCAGCTGGGGCCTTCTCCTCCACTCTTGCCTGTGTTCACGTTGGAAGTCTTTGTAGCATTCTTTACAGAGCATGGAAATGTAAGATGAGAGGGCGGAGGAGGGGAGAGAGCAGAAGCTGGCTGGAGATCAGGTCATTTTGCCATAAGCAGCAGGCAGCTAGCTCCTTCACAAATGAGTGAACACTGGGTAGCCATTACCTTCCTGCTAACTAGGCCAGAGTTCCTGGCCTTCTTTCCCTCTCTAATCACTGGTCAGACCATGTTATAGGAATAGTTGACAAGGCATGTTGTCACAAGTATTCCCCAGTCTGTTTCTTTTGGATGATTATAACCTGACCTTAAGGTAAGAACATAAAAATTTCAGCTAGATGCTGGTGGCTCATACCTGTAATGCTGGCTGCTTAAGAGGCTATGATCTGTAGATCATGGTTCAAAGACAGATCTTGGACAGAAAAGATCATAAGAGACTCTTATCTCCAATTAACCAGCAGAAAGCTGGAAGTAGAGACTTGGCTCAAGTGAAATAGCACCAGCCTTAAGCAGAAAAACCAAATGAGAGCATGGGAGGCTCTGAGTTCAAGCCCCAATACAGACACATGCACGCACACACACGAAAAAAAATGCCAACCATTTTCGAGAAAGAAAGGTCAGACATTGAGTGACTGTCTCTAAGACTCTCAGCTGAATGTGATGGGCCCCAAGCTTTTACAAGAGGGCATCTAGTGCTGTTTCTGTTTTAGCTGTTTCTGTTTCTGGTGCTTAGCTAGACCCCTGCAGGGTGGGAGATCAGGACTCGGGAGGGACTAGCAGGAAGACCTTTCTCTGGTGCAGGAGAGGCAAACATGAAAACCAGGCTGACGGCTTGCTTTTTCTGAAGGTCTCTCCTGGCTTGCTTCCACTTATTATTTCATCAACCAACAAATGCTTCTGTTGGCTTAGCAACATCATGGTAACAAAACCCAAAAGCTCTCAGGGAAAACACTGCACAGGCGTCCATTGGAAGAAAGAGCTCAGGGGTGCAGGCACCTGCTGCCCTCACTCCCAGCTCCTGCTCCATCCCTGCAGATGTTGTGGCCCCACTGTAGCCATGTCGAAGCTGGGAAAGAGAGGGTATAGATGATCCATTTCCAAAGCCCCAGAGCTTTCTCTTTAGATAGATATAGTTTAGGAATGCTGGGTTTTTCTTTAGCTGCTTTTCCATAATTGAAAGGTTCCAGGTACAGCTGAGATATTATTCCCTGTTCAGAAGCTTAGAATCCCTAACCTTGAGATGAGTTCTGAAGAGCCATGAACTTCCAGCTAGAAGCTAGTGACATCTCCTGCCCTGCTCAGGAGCTAGCCCCAGTCCACAGGTATGTTACTACTCATATCAGATCGGAGCTCAGAACCCTTGTGTGTAACCAAAGGTGATGTGTTCATTGTAGAAAGAAAAAAAATATTTAAAATACAGAAAAGCCAACAGAAAAAAAACTGCAATCCTACCAAACAGATGTAAACATGTATGCATGCATATGAACTCTATTGCAGCTTTTATTAAAATGCACTGTATCATACCCATATGTATCCACTAAACATTTCTTCCCATGTTAATATATAACATTGTACTTCACCATTTTTAATGTTCTTATGTTATTTCATTATGTAGCCATACCATGATTTATTTGGATGTTTTTAAAATTATGAAGCCAAGTGCAGTGATCAATGCCCTTGATCTCAGCTACGTGGTGGGGAGGAGACCAGGAAGATTATGTTTTGGAGGCTGGCCTAAGGGGGGAAAAAAGTTGAGATCCCATCACAACAAATAAGCCAGTCATGGAATTGGAAGCCTGTCATTCCAGCTGTGCGGGAGGCATAAGTAGGAAAGCTGTGGCTGAGGCTAGACTTGAGAAAACAATGCAAGGCCTTACCTGAAAATAGGTAGAGCAAAAAAGGGTGAGGCATGGCCCCTGTGGTAGAGCATGCAAGGATCTAGAATGCAAGGACCAAGTTCAAACCCCAGTAATGCCAAAACAAATAAACTAAATTGTGAAATATTTTACTCATTAAAAAACAGAAGCTGGGCGCCAGTGGCTCACGCCTGTGATCCTAGCTACTTAGGAGGCTGAGATCTGAAGATTGCAGTTTGAAGCTATCCTGGGCAGGAAAGTCTATCACCAATTAATCACTCAAAAACCAAAAGTGGTGCTGTGGTTCAAGTAGTGGAACGCTGGCCTTGAGCACAAAGAGGCTCAATGACAGTGCCCAGGCTCTGAGTTCAAACCCCATAACTGACCAACACACACACACACACACACACACACACACACACAATATGACAGTTTATTTAGTGACTAACATAAGTTATTTTATTCACACAACCACCTTCTAAGTCAGTGTCACACTCAGTTTCCTTGTTTTGCAGATAAGCTAAATAAAACCTAGAGAGGCCAAATGATTTCTCTAACACCTGAGGTACAGGTGCTGTCAAAGAGGTCGCTGGCATACCTGTGCAGCAGCCCTGATTCTGCTAGTGGCCTCCATGGCTCTGTGCTGGATGAGGGTGGCATCTCCTGTCTTTACCTCTCTGCCCTGCTGCCCATCTGCAGTGCCATAAGGTGCCAGGTGACTGTTTTTCTGGGTTCGGGGGTGGATGGGTGGATGAAGGGTATAGAAGCTAAGCTACTTGCAGGGGCTGGCTTCTGACCACTGGCTTTCCCAGGTCAGTTCAGACATTTTAACAAGCACCACACTGGTGGTCTTAAATCTCTGAACTTCTGTGGATTTTGGACACCACATATATAGAAAAATGCTCAAAAACAAAGGTGAAAGAGAACATGTTAGCACATCTGGGCCCCTCTGCCTTCTTGAGAGATCCTAGCTCCATTAGCGTGAACCGCCACCCAAGTTACTGTTACAACTTAAAACTCTACGATCTGTCTCATCTTGAATTGCTATAAGACAACAGCTTAGGTCCGAGTGTATGGGACTAGTCCTAGCTACTCAGAAGATGGAGATCAAGGAAATTTTAGTTCCAGGCTAGCCAAACAAAAGTACCTACAAGCAATGGGGGGGTGGGCACAGCAACATGGCTCAAGTAGTAGAGCACAAGGTCCTTAGTTCAAACCTCATACCAAAATAGAAAAAAACAAAAGCCCAATAGCTTAACTTGGTAGCTATAAGTGTAGTTTATGAGGTTGCTGAAGTACTATTAGAGTTGATTGTAGAAGCAGTATAGAGGAATTATAAAACATTTGGGGACAAACTCACTAAAATCCAATCACCTACAAGACAGCTGAGGTTCTCTTTGCCTGGCTCCCTCCTGGTCTTGTCCATTGACACGTTTACCTAGCTGTCACACACAGCAGGTATCATCATCATCATCATCACCATCTCCTGAACGTTTGTCCCAGTTTTGTGTATACCACAGCCCTCTCTCAAGTTCACATGATCCCCCAGAGCTGGGTATTTATGGTGTTTCTGACTCACCCTCTTCTATACCATGGGAAATTGTAAGCAGCTAGCTATTGCGTCTGCAGCTGAACTCCTTGATATTGACTGAGGGTTCCTTGAACTGAAGTGTCAGGGCAGGGCAGGGCCACACCTGTAGCTCCTGCCACACAGTTGTGCAGAGTTGGCTCCTGGTTAAGTCCCTACCAGTAGGTGTCTTCCCCGATTTCAGAGCCAATGCTACTAAAGGGGGTGTTGACATTTTTATTTGCTACTTTAGGAGGAGTAAAAATGGCACTTGAGCATTTCTTGATTTTGTAGGTTTTTTTTTTAATTATCAAAGGAAATTAGCATTTTCTTCCTTCTTTGTATTTCTTCTTTGTGAGTTGTATACTATCACTTCTACTTTTTTGCCTATTTCAGTAAATTGGGGTTTTCTTTTTTCTTTCTTTTAAAAATCAAACTGAGTGAAATGTTATCCACGGTAGCCATTAAACATTTTCATATGGTGCCACACGCTTTCCCATGTTGTGTTTGCTTTTTAATTTTGGATATTTATTTGTTGTATAAAACTTCTCATTTTTGTAATCAAAATCTGTCGATGTTTTGTTCCTGTTACTTTGAAGCTTAGGAAAGTATCCTCTCTCTGGAGAGTTGGTAAATATTTAACTCTACCTTCTGTTATTTTAAATTCTTGAATTCATCTGGATGGTACTTGCTATAAATGGAGTCGCAGATGACATTGCTTTCTAAATTGTTCACCAGCAATTCTACTCTTCTCTGTCTCAGGTATCATCTACCAGATGAAGGGTGATTATGATGCTGCCCTGAAACTCCACAAGACACACCTGTGCATCGCACAGGAGCTGAGTGATTACGCTGCCCAGGGCCGCGCCTACGGGAACATGGGCAATGCCTACAATGCCCTGGGCATGTATGACCAGGCCGTGAAGTACCACCGACAGGAGCTGCAGATCTCCATGGAGGTGAATGATCGGGCCTCACAGGCTTCCACACACGGCAACCTGGCTGTGGCCTACCAGGCCCTGGGCGCCCATGACCGGGCCCTGCAGCACTATCAGAACCACTTGAACATCGCCCGGGAGCTGCGAGACATCCAGAGCGAGGCTAGGGCCCTCAGCAACCTGGGAAACTTCCACTGCTCTCGGGGGGAGTATGTCCAGGCTGCCCCCTATTACGAGCAGTACCTGCGGCTGGCTCCAGACCTGCAGGACATGGAAGGAGAAGGGAAGGTCTGTCACAATCTTGGCTATGCCCATTACTGCCTTGGAAACTACCAGGAGGCAGTGAAGTACTACGAACAGGACCTGGCACTGGCCAAAGACCTTCATGACAAATTGAGCCAAGCGAAAGCCTACTGCAACCTGGGCCTGGCATTTAAAGCTCTGCTGAATTTCAGCAAAGCTGAGGAGTGTCAGAAGTACCTGTTGTCCCTTGCCCAGTCCTTGAATAATTCCCAGGCTAAATTTCGAGCCTTAGGGAACCTGGGCGATATATTCATCTGTAAAAAAGATATAAATGGTGCAATAAAATTCTATGAGCAACAGCTGGGCCTAGCTCACCACGTGAAGGACAGAAGGCTGGAGGCCAGTGCATATGCCGCCCTGGGCACTGCTTACCGGATGGTCCAGAAGTACGACAAAGCCTTGGGGTATCACACGCAGGAACTGGAGGTCTATCAGGAGCTGAGCGACTTGACGGGCGAGTGCCGGGCTCATGGGCACCTGGCTGCTGTCTACATGGCCCTTGGGAAATACACCATGGCATTCAAGTGTTACGAAGAGCAGCTGGATCTGGGGCAGAAGCTGAAGGACCCGAGCCTGGAGGCCCAGGTCTACGGCAACATGGGCATCACAAAGATGAACATGAACGTGATGGAGGATGCCATCGGCTACTTCGAGCAGCAGCTGGCCATGCTGCAGCAGCTCAGTGGGAATGAGTCGGTGCTGGATAGGGGCCGAGCCTACGGCAATCTGGGGGATTGCTACGAGGCCCTAGGGGACTACGAGGAGGCCATCAAGTACTATGAGCAGTATCTGTCAGTGGCCCAGAGTCTGAATCGCATGCAAGACCAAGCCAAGGCCTACCGGGGTCTAGGGAACGGACACAGGTAACAATGACAGAGGACAAGCAGTTGTGAGAGTGGTAGCAGCTGCATCTGTGCACAGAGTTTGCTAGCTACCTGGTTCTTCCCACATAGTTCCCTTGATTCCTTCCAAGACCTTTGGGGTTAAGCAGGTATTATTGTCCTTACTTGTGGCCCACAGAGGGTGGACTGAGGCCTGAGATTACACAGCTTAAACGGATAACTGAGAGGCAAACTTGGGACTCTCCAACTCCAAATGCAGGACTTTTGGGACTGCATTAGAATGAGCAGAAGAAAAGAGTAAATAAGGATGGGAAAGCAAATTGATCAGTCTTTCCTGAGGGCCTCCCACCTGTTCTGGATGTTTATTAGTACGACATTCCCCACATACCCACCAATTACTGCGACCCTGTTGTGTTGCTCTTAGCAAAGCCATTGGATAACAGAGTAAATAAATGTGGCCCATGTACCATGCATCATCCTGGACACCCTGTCTGAGCAATCCTGTGTTGCTGTGCACACACCTCCACCTGCTGTGAGCTGGGATTTAGCTCTGCCAGAAGCTGAGGCTCAGGAGCACTGTAGCCCCACAATGTGTTTGGTCTGTTGCCAAAGCCCACATCCCCCCCTTGATCCTGTCATCTCAGAGCGGCGCAGACAGACACACTGTGGGCCAAGAAATGCTTTCCTCCAAGTGGGGGGACCCCAAGAAGGTGCCTGTGTCTACAGAATATATGGCCTTATCAGAGAGACAGAGGATTAGGGCTCCTGGAGTGAAGGAAGGGCAGAGGTCAAACTAAATCATCACCCAGAGTGCTCCGAGAAGCACAGAGAGGAAGATTTACAGTTGCTATAAAGTGATTTCAAAAACATAGTCTAAGCGGTAGTGGAAATTGGGAGGCCCGGAGACCCAAAGCGTTCCTCTGCTATCATTGTGCCTATTAATATATTTTATGCTCCCTCTGGGTGCACATCCCGTTGAGTCCCGAGCTCTTGGGAAGGTCATCGAGGGATGACTTTTGAATTGCTTTCCAGATTATGAAATTCCTGTGCATCTCACTCTGAGGGCACATGATAGATTTTAGCTAGAAGAGGAGTTAAGAGCCTCTATAGTAAGTGACAGTGACAAATGCTTTTCATTTTCTCAGGGGCTTTAGCATGTCTGCACCTGCACCGAATGAGACCATTGCTTCTCTGTCTTCCTCCTACAGGGCAATGGGGAGCTTGCAGCAAGCCCTTGTGTGCTTCGAGAAGAGGCTTGTGGTCACCCACGAGCTCGGAGAGGCCTTCAATAAAGCCCAGGCCTATGGAGAGCTGGGCAGTCTACACAGCCAATTAGGGAATTATGAACAAGCCATTTCCTGCCTTGAACGTCAGCTGAACATTGCGCGAGAGATGAAGGACCGAGCCCTGGAGAGTGACGCGGCCTGCGGCCTGGGAGGTGTCTACCAGCAGATGGGGGAGTACGACACAGCCCTGCAGTATCACCAGCTTGACCTACAGATAGCAGAGGAAACCAACAACCCGACATGCCAGGGCCGAGCCTATGGGAACCTGGGCCTGACCTACGAGTCCCTGGGCACCTTCGAGAGGGCTGTGGTCTATCAAGAACAACACCTGAGCATCGCCGCACAGATGAACGACCTGGTGGCCAAGACAGTGTCCTATAGCAGCCTCGGAAGGACCCACCATGCCTTGCAGAACTATTCCCAGGCAGTCATGTACCTGCAGGAAGGTAGGTGAAAAGGCCCAGTGTGATCTCTCAAACACAGAGGGGAAATGCAGTAGGAATGACCTCTGTGTGGGGTAGGATCTCCCCTGTGTGGCCACCCCTGTGTGGGGTGAGGGGCTCACAATACCTTCCCCTGTGGGGGGTGGGGAGGCTCACAGTGCCACCTCTGTGGGGGGGGTCACAGTGCCACCTCTGTGGGGGGGAATCTCACAGTGCCACCTCTGTGGGGGGGCTCACAGTGCCATCTCTGTGGGGGGCTCACAGTGCCCTTTCTGTGGGGGGGGGTCACAGTGCCACCTCTGTGGGGGGGTCACAGTGCCACCTCTGTGGGGGGGAATCTCACAGCGCCCCTTCTGTGTGGGGGGGGTCAAAGTGCCACCTCTGTGGGGGGGTCACAGCGCCACCTCTGTGTGGGGGAATCTCACAGTGCCACCTCTGTGGGGGGGCTCACAGTGCCCTTTCTGTGGGGGGGGGCTCACAGTGCCACCTCTGTGGGGGGCTCACAGTGCCCTTTCTGTGTGGGGGGGCTCACAGTGCCACCTCTGTGGGGGGGAATCTCACAGCGCCCCTTCTGTGTGGGGGGGCTCACAGTGCCACCTCTGTGGGGGGCTCACAGTGCCCTTTCTGTGTGGGGGGGCTCACAGTGCCACCTCTGTGGGGGGGAATCTCACAGTGCCACCTCTGTGGGGGGGCTCACAGTGCCACCTCTGTGGGGGGGGTCAAAGTGCCACCTCTGTGGGGGGGTCACAGTGCCACCTCTGTGGGGGGGAATCTCACAGCGCCCCTTCTGTGTGGGGGGGGTCACAGTGCCACCTCTGTGGGGGGCTCACAGTGCCCCTTCTGTGTGGGGGCTGTGTGGGTTCACAGTGTCTGCCACCTCTGTGTGGGGTAGGTAGGGGGCTCACAGTGCCACCTCTATGTAGGGTGGCGGGTCTCACAGTGCCACCTCTATGTATGGGGGGGTGTCTCACAGTGCCACCTCTCTGTGGGGTTGGGGCTCAGGGTTCATTGTCAGCTCAGTGCGAGTCTTGATAGTGCTAAGGTGCTTCGCTGTCTGGACCCCTGGCCCAGAACCAGCTTGCCATGCTGCCTTGGTGATTGTGTCCATGGCAGGCCAAGAGCTTTGCAACCCGAGACTGGTGAATAGATGGCATGTCCTCACACAGATGAGTCAAGTGAGATCTGATCACGTGAAACCACAGGGTTGAGAGTATGGCTCCATTGGTAGAGAGCTAGCCAATGAGTGAAAGTGTCAGGTATATCAGGTACCAAGTTCAAGTCCCGGTCTCTGATCTAAAAAAGAAAAAAAAGACTGTAGGAGCCAAAATTGGGGAAATGGCTATCTGTTCCAAGTCTCATTGACCCTCTAGAAAATACTAGAACTATATAGATGTCAGATTTGACATGGCAGCTGAGGTCCAACCCAGAGGCAGCTGTCTGGGGATCACTGAGCAGCAAGCCAGGCGTCCTGCCCGGTGCTTGTACAGGGCTTGGGCTAGTGCCACAGCACTGTCTTGTTCCAGGCAGGCCTGGAAATTGGCTACTTCTCTTCCACCAACACCACCAAGTTCCACAAGCCACCTGCGCACAGTGGGCCTAGGATGAAGTCCTAGGCCTAAGTCCTGCAGCATCATGCTTGCCTTCTACCCTCAGGCTGGCAGCCTCTCCTCACAGGCCTCCTGCCTCAGGCATGAGGGGCGCAGGGGATCCTGCACTGGCTGCTGAAGGCAGATGGTTGCAGATTTAAGCAAAAACTGTTTCCAAGGGGCTTTGCATATGTAGTTTATTCAACCTGATTTATTTCTCACAACTGTCTTGAGAGAAGTTTCTGGTTTTTTCAGTGCTGGGGTTTAAGCCCAGGGCTTCGTGCATGCTCTAGTGCTCTACTTACTGAGTTGGTATGCCCCTACCCCTGGAGGCAAATGAGATTATCCCCATTATTATTTTGTAGCTAAGTCACCAAGACCTGGAATACAGTGGTTTGATCCTGCCCCTGTGGTTGGTTAGGCACAGAGGGGAGCTCAGCCTGAGTTTTCTGACCTCAAGAACCCCACAATACCCCATGCCAACATGACTGTGCTAGCACAGACTGAAGGGCACACAGAAGCTACAGGCCACTGCCCGGCCCACCATACCTGACTCTTCTCCACACGTACGGGGCTCTGCCTGGCCGCCTCAAGTGCACATGCTGGCTTTCAGTTTCCAACCCTTGGCAGTGGTAAAATCCCGGCATCCCAGGAGTGACTGTCAGTTGAATCTGTAAAACCCATTCAAATCAGGCCCAGCATCTGACAACCTGGCCACTATGTTTGTTAGTCCTTCCTGAATCAGTTTCTGTGTAACAGCTGGTTTGCCTGAGATGTTGCAGTATAATTCTGTATTTATGGAAAATTCCCTCATGCTTATTGTTCCTTGTGATAAATCTCGCAGAGATCATTTTGTGGACAGTCTATAGCCTGTACCTCTCCTAGTTGGTCTTGCCAGGTACCTTTTTTCTTGACCTCTGAGCAGGCTCAGTTGCAGAGCACCTGGAGGGGGCATTCTGTAGCCTCTTGTTAAGGAAGGGCCAGTTCAGCTGGAAAAAATCTGCCCTCCTCCCCAGGTGTCTCTGGCTTTCAGGGGAGGGGCTTCAGTTTGGCATCCCCCCTCTCTCCTCCGCCCCAGTGCCATGCAGCTTCCGGGGCAGGGTGGATGGATAGGATTTGGTGATTTGGGTGGATACTGATGGTGAAAAACCACAGCTGTTTCTCATTTTGCAAATGAGGGAAGAAGACTGGACCCATTTAGAGATTTATCCTGGGCCAACAGCTCTGGAGATGTTGCAGGAGGAGGGGAGGCAGGGACAAGGAGATAGGTCAGGTATGTGGATAGAAGCTGGGCACTTCATACCACAACTGCCCAGTGTTTTGTGAAGTCTTCATTGTTGAACCCCTGGCTATTTACCAGTGGTAACCTGAGTTCCAGGGACCCAGAAGGAGCTGAGTAAAGTCCCTGCTCTCATAGGTCTTGCTTCCAAGGGGGGCTTGACCCAGAAGTGAGGGCACTACTGGAGTGAGGGTCTGTGCCGAAGATGAAAAGTGGCATCTCCTGGTTTTCTCTCAGGAGCCATCATCTTTCCTATCTTCACGTGGGAATTGTTTGCAAATATTGTCATTACCCAGGACATGAATTGGATTCAAAATGCAGTTTGAATTTTCCACTCCTTGTATATTTTGAAGTACAAGATGTTTAGGACCTTGAGCCTGAGCCTCACTTTCCTTAGTCTCCTGCTGACTCAGCTGTCTTTGAGAGGTCAGCGTTGCAGGGGCCCAGCCTGCAGGGAGGCCACTCCCAGGTGCTGATCAGAGCAGAAGGAAGCCCTGCCTTTGTGTGCTGGTGCTGCTTCCACACAGGCTGCTCTCCGTCCAGGCTGCCCTCCACTCTGGCTAGCTGCTTCTGCACAGAAAACACAATAATGAGAGCAAAATGACTGAGAATGGCTTATTGACAATACAATAAACCACTGCCTTCAGGTTTGGCTCCCACAAAGCCCTGGAGGTGGCTGGTGTCCCGAAACCCAGAAGCTTGCTGTGGGTAGGTTACCTAAACTGCAGGTGCCTATCTGAAGGCCACTGAAATGAGGACTGTCTCATCTCAGGCTTTTCACTCATAACAGCAGTTGTTTTGCAACCCCACTGAGACACATCACATTCTCGGGCATGCAGGAAGGGAGATTGACGAGAGATGTGTCGGTGTCATCAGTAACAGCAGCAGGGCCGGGCTGTGTGCGTACTCCGCCTTCCGGAGAACCTCAGAGTCTTCTGAGCGCTGATTGACTGCTGTGTAGCTAGATAGGACGATGGGAAGAAGTATCTAAGCATCTCTACTTGGCTGTCAGGAAAAGCTTTTTCCAGTCGAAGAACCAGGTGAGATAAATTTATCAGCCCATAGTTTTCATTTGCAAAGCTAAGAGTTTATGTCTGGGAGGACGGCCAGGTTAGTTTCATTTGTCTCCCGTGTTTGTGCCTGCCCTGCAAGCGTGTCTTCTGCTGATGGTCATATCTCCTGCTGATTGCTGCTGCCTCAGCTCCTGCTGGGTATTTCCCACTGTCCTGGAAACATCACCACATGGTGGGGTTTGGAAGGCATGTGTATTCTGCCTTGGCCACTGGGCTCTGGTCCCATGATCTCTCTGGCTGTGTTTCAAACACCTGAAGCAAAATTAACCTTCCCAGACTCAGCAGGGTGGAATTATCTGTCTTCTGTTTCTTTGAATTTTTCTCTCTCTGGTTTCAGGTTTAAGGTTAGCTGAACAACTGGGCCGAAGAGAAGATGAGGCAAAAATTCGCCATGGTCTTGGCCTCTCCCTTTGGGCTAGTGGAAACCTGGAAGAGGCCCAACACCAGGTGAGTAGAAGAACCTGAACAAGTACAGATGTTTCTCAAAGCCTGGAAGGCCTTGGAATGCTTGTCTTTGTGGTGGTGGCATTCCCCAGACACGTCAGCCTCGTCCCTCAGGTTGATGCACAATATTTCCAGCCCGCACCAGCCCAGAAGTGCTGAGCTTCCCGTCAGCAAAGATTCCCGCTCATGCTGTGATGAATTTCTCAATAATTTTGTTAGAATTCTTGTAATATGTGCTGCTGCTCTGCATTAAACTTTAATGTGAAATTACATTCTTCATAACAGAAGCAAAATAAGAATTCATAGTCACTGGAGTAAATGTCTTTGTAGCTTTACAATAGATATAATTTCTCTCTCCCCCTCTCATGGTAATTCCTTGTGTCTGCACTTGTACAAGAAGCTGGAGTGTACAAGAAGCTGGCATTCTGGGCTTCCTCTGTTGAGCTGAAGTGATAGAGACTGCCGTGTCTGGGATCATACTCACCTCTCTGTAGTGTGAAGGGTGCTGTGGACCCTGTGCCAGGCAAAGGGGACCAAGGATAAACACATGGCTCCGTTCCAGAGGTGCCCCTGAGGGTGGAGGCTGTGACATGCCCGAGTTTGTGCTTAGTTCCTCCAGTGCTGGGCACTATGCTCTGCTCCTAATCTATTAAAGGCACTTTAAAGGATTAACTGTGATTTCCTGGTTGTAAAAATTAAGACATACACTGATGTAGTGACATGTCCTTTCCATTCACTGAATTTATCCCTCACACTACCTTAGCAAGTCAAATAATAACTGCCTGTTCTAGATAGATAGGAAGAAACCGAGGCTCCAAAACCTGTTAAATAAGAGGTAGGGTTAGAGGCACCCTCCTCTCCTGTGGCTCTCTCCAAGTCTATGTATGTGTACCAGTCTTAGAACTCTGCTTTCTCAAGTTGGCTAAACAGAGCAGTGGGGCAGGGTCTCCATTCAGAATGTCAGTCACCTGGGTCTCCAGATGTCTCCCTGTGTGAGGCGGGGGGGGGGGGGGGGGGAGCGGAGGAGGAGGAAGGCACCTCTGAAGGCCTGTCCAGCAAACCTCTGGTTCCAGAAAGCAGTATCTGATTGGGCCACAAAGGTCCTACTCTCCAGCAGAGTGGCTGCCTCTGTCTCCTTGTCCCAGCCTGTCCATTTCCAGCTCACCCATTACACTGGTCCTCACCAACATCTTTGTACCCCAAAAACCTGAGGTGGTGGGTTATGGTCATCTGGTGACAAGAGGGAAGGCTTTTTGTTCTAATCAGAGTCAGCCCTGTTGGGATTAATACTTGAGTTCTTCACAGACTTCATAAATCCATAACCCATATCTTAGATACCCTTATCTATAAGTCAAAAATTGATTACACAAATTATGGTTTACTGGGTATAGCAGGATACCTCATCAAGTCTACAAGGACCCACTGGAAATGCAGCTTGATCTTCTAAGAAATAAAAACCATGTAGGTGTGTGCCCAAGTGTGTGCACATGTCATCTCTACTCTGTGAGCAGCTGGACCCACTTTGTAGACATGGTGACATTCTCTGCCTTTCCTTACAGCTGTACAGAGCATCCGCTTTGTTTGAAACCATCCGGCACGAGGCGCAGCTGAGCACCGACTACAAACTCTCCCTGTTCGACCTGCAGACATCATCCTACCAGGCCCTGCAGCGGGTGCTCGTCAGCCTAGGTGAGAGAGAGAAGCTGGGGTTGCACGCATCCAAGTTGTTTAGTGACTCTGATGAAGTAGGATATGTCACAGGAGACCGTGGAGCCATGACCACACCCAGTCATTGTGTCCATTTGTATACTGGACGAAGTTGGCAGAGAACCTACTGTGTGCTGATTGCACGCCCTAGGGATTGTAGTAGACACAGGTAGCTCATAGCCACATCAGGCAGGAAGCTTAGTATGGGGAGATGGGCTAACCAGAGAGGCTCGGGACAGGAAGCCACGTAGCAGGCCCAGGAGCCATGGCAGGTGTCCCCTCTCTCCACTGACACCTGCCACATGTTTTTGGCATCAGAAAAGTGCCTGAGAGTTCACTGGCCTCTGCTCTCTTCTCAGCCACATGTCCTCGTTAGCTGCTGCCTAGTTAATGTTTCTGCCTCTGGGTCTGCACCCCAGGGTCATGACACACACCGGGTCATGAAGCCTGTGGCCCCCTTTTCCTTCTCATTCCCCTGCCTCCTGCCTCCTGTCTCTTTCTCAAAGGTATTCGCTGAAACAAAGAAAGACAGGTTGGTGTTGAAGCCCTTTACCAACTTGCCCTTAGCTGTGGAAAATGCGAGTTGCTTTTGCAGAATTTTTACAAATTGCCTGGGATTGTAATTTATTTCCTGTTATAGTCACAATGTTAAGTCTGTCTAGCACTTTGGGGCTGATTTTCCAGTGTACATTGAAAATGTCCCTGCTGCTTCAGTTAATAACTTAATAGAAGAAAGGAAGACATTTGCATGCACTCCCATAAACTCCACTTTCTATGCATGCTCAAATGGCAGGAAGCAAGACAGCTTTGAAGCGCTGTCAGAGCCTAGCATCTGCTCCCTGCCTCTGCCTGCTCTCTCTTCAGGCCCCAGCTGCAGTTTATATTTACAGGGCAAGTGGTGTCCCCCCAGCACTCACAGAAAAGCCTCACCTGAAAGTAGGTTGCCTTCAGTTTGTGCTTTTCTGCAGGTGCATCAGCTTTTAAACTAGATTACAGACGGCCTCTTAGAGGACATGGAATTAGACCCTGGGTTGAAAGGCTGAGGAAGAGCTTAAAAACAGCAGTTCTAAAGCAATCATGATCCAAGATCTCAGGGGTTTAAAACCTTTGCCCAGGGTGCTAGAAAAGAGGGAAGCTCCTGGGAGTGCAGTAGACCTTGATGTCAGCTCCTACAGAAACAGCTCCTGGCATACAGGAGGTGATTAAGGGACACCTCTCAGCCTTTTGTGGTAGGCTGAACAATGACAGTTGTTCCTTTTGAGCCAAGGTCAGTGGGAAGTAAAAGGTCCCAAGAGAGGGCCAGGTAGGTGGGATGCACAGGAAATGGGAGATGGGGGTGTGTCTAGGAGGGCTGTCAGGAGAGCTGCCTGCAGATCTCATCCACCAGCTCTATGGCAAGATCAGAGATGAGCCGGGAGTTGATAGGATAACCAGAGTGGCAAGCATCTGTCCAGGCAGCCAAGGGACTGCAGCAGGAGGCCACAGTCTGGTTAGGGAGCTCTGTACAAGTGGGATCTGGTGGTGCTGGCAGAGATAAGGGAAGGCCAAGTAATTTAAGTGGCATGGGGTCAGTCTTGCAGAGTAAAACATGGGGTCCTGTGAGTGGGCAATGTGCCCACTGTGGCTGTGGCTCATCTGAGTGAGCATGTGCACACTGGTCTCCTCAGCCTACTCTTTGTCTCCTAGGCCACCACGATGAAGCCCTGGCTGTGGCAGAAAGGGGTCGGACAAGGGCGTTTGCTGATCTTCTGGTGGAACGACAAACAGGACAACAGGACTCAGACCCCTACTCCCCAGTCACCATCGACCAGATCCTAGAAATGGTTAACGGGCAGCGGGGCCTCGTGCTCTACTACTCCCTGGCTGCAGGCTACTTGTACAGCTGGCTGCTTGCTCCTGGGGCAGGTGAGGTCTCTCTGTGGGCCTAGGGAAATTAGGACATGAGCCCAGTGAAAGTCTAATGCGGGGAGGTCTCATAGAACAGATTAAGGAGCGATGCCTGGTGCTAGGGGTAGCAATTCTATGATGAGGCACTCAATTAATAATCCAGCCCCAAAAAGCATTGCCCCTGCCAGGAAAGGAAGACTGAGAGCTGGACCATGCGTGTCACTGGAGCTCTATTTGTCAGGCGCTGCTGTTTATCAGCTAATAAAGCCAGGGCAGCCAGGCCTAATGAGTTCTTTCTTGATAGGACTTCATAATTGTGATCTGTTGTCACATAAGAGACCAGAATGATAATGGCAACTCTCATGGCTTATAAATAAGTCTTAAGCTTGGAATTCTTTAGTTTAAGGGACCCCACTTTTTTTTAAAGCCAGTTCTGTTGAAGATCTGTTTTAGAAGTAAAAATCCCTTTGATTAATCCAACATTAATTGTTGAGGACGTAACAGTTTCACTGAATACAGAACCACTAATTGGCTGCCAGGGCCATATTTTTTGCATAATAAAATGCTGATGGCTTCTCCATGTTGGAGACACACCAGATCCAATTAGAGTTTATTGACTGGGGAAGTGGGTGTTATAATTGGGAATCTTGAAGAATGGGCTTCTTGAATATCTGTAAAAAGTTCAACTGCCAAGAAGAATTGACAAGATTTTCTTGATTGTGTTTCTTTCCCTTTGGGTTAAAAAAAAATGATGGCTTGGATGACAGCTCCCAGATGCTTCCTGGGTTCCGAGCATACATGCCTACCTGTCCTATGTCAGCATTGTTTTTCAGAAAACCTTTCCTCTTTAATTCCATGTTCTCATGGGCTTTCCATGAGGAACTTCCTGACCTCTGATCCTTAGATTGTATGCTAAGAGTTTCAAGTTGTGGTTTTCATGGTGACCTGGTGAAGGATGTCAGCTTCAGCAAGGCCCCAGAGGGACACTGGCACACGTGGGTGAGGTTGGCGATGGCTGGGTAGCTATCTCTTTCTGTGATTGCTGCGTCTTGGGGACATGATTTGACAGGTGGTATATCCAGAATCCTGTAATAATGAGCCATTGTGCAGTGACAGTCCCATTGTTTCTTCTTTTGTTCCTCTTTGCTCTTAATGAGACTCTGAAGCTTTGGCTGGGGACTGCAGTCCAATCAGAGAGCATGGCGTTCCCGAGGGCTGACACACCTCATTACCATTCGAGAATATGTCCTGTGCTTATTGCCTCCCTTTCAGGCAGACTTTGATGGTGTGGTTTTTTTTCTCCTTTAATATATTAATGGTCATTGACCAGTTAGTTTTATTTAAAAATGGTTTCGAATGTCTTTATTTGGCCTTTGTACTCTATACTTATTTTGATAAAATAGAAGTCCTTGGTGGCACAGTTTCCTCTAGGCTAGTTCTATTTTTGCTTGTGATTCAGTCTCTGGAGAATCTACCTGGGCACACTTGTGCAGGGGTTCTAAAAGCAGACTGTAGGAGCCAGTGCCCCTGCAAAGCATCAGAATAGGCTCCACAGGACGCAGTCCTACCTCCAGGAGCTCCCAAAGTACCTTCAGAAGCCAAAGCTTATATCTTGGGTTACCTGGCTTCAGTCATTGAAATTCAGCCCCACCTCTCCACCAGCCCTGAGCCCTTAGATTCTGAGCATTCTACACAGTCCAGTAGTATTGGCATTCCTGACCCCTTTGTTGGAATTGTCTTTGTTGGAATTGCATGCCTGACATTGGCTGTGCCTGCCTTGTTTCAGGAATTCTGAAGTTTCATGAACACTACCTGGGTGATAACACGACAGAGAACCCCAGTGACTTCCAGGCAGGCAGCAGCGGGACCCTTCCACCAGCCACCAGCTCAGCCCTGGAGCATCACATCACCAGTGTCCGTGAGGCCCTGGGGGTAGAGTCTTACTACTCCAGGTAGGGAGTAATTTCCCTTGTCTGCTCTCTGTGTGTTCCCTGCTTGTGGTGGTGTCAGTGTTTTGTTGATTGGGAAATATGCTATTTGAACTAGTAGATGAATGCTTATGGAATTCATACTTTTGTGCTCAGACTACTTATAGTTGCTATAGTAGAGCCAGGTCTGTATGCAAGACCAAGCATAGGAGAGTAGGCCCTATTTGTTCCTGGTAGTTTCCATTCAGATGTGAAGGACCTCCATGAGGAGCGGGGGAGCCTGCTTAAACATGCCTGTGAGTGTACCACACCAGCTCATGAAAACTGAGACCGGGGTCTGCCTGTAAACAGACTGCAATGTGTGCGATAGCTCATGGCCTGCTTATATGTAGCACTGGTGACAGGGTTTGTGCATGGATAGATCTTCATAGTGCGGTCTGAGGTAGAGAGGAGCTGCTTTCTATAAAGATTGTAAGAGCTACAAACCTAGGAAATGTTTTAAGACAGTGATTGTCTATTTTGCATATGAAAAATAATTTCTGTAACGAATCACAAAAGAATGTGCCCAATGCTGGTTGTAACCAGTTTTTCCAGGTGTCTTAGTCCTCCAGGCCATGATGGTCAAGTGTCTGGAAGGCCTGGTGACAGACATTCCACTGTGGTGGTGGAGGCAGGAGGTCCCAAGCACAAATGTGTGGTTGTGTCCTGAATGATTCTCTATAGTCACAGAGGGCCTGAGCTGCTTGGTCCCTGCAGAGATGCTGCACTCCATATGTGAAGAGCATTTCCAGCAGTGGGACTCCTTGCTGGAGTGCACATGAGGCTGGAAAGAGTTCTTAGGTAAACAGCAGCCCTTGGGTAATGGAATGGTGATATCTGAAAGGACTGAAGTGGTGCTGGGCACAAGCCTTGTATTCAGCAGAGCTGGCAGTGAAGCGGGGCCTGCTGACAGCCACGCTGGTGTCAGAGCCAGGACCCCAGCCTCCATCTCACCCAGACTCCAAGCCAGCGCTTGTTCTGTTTTTAATTATCAAAATTAATATCATGTTTTGAGAAAATAGCGAAGCATGTTAGGATGTCATTTCTAGCTTCTGTTTTTTATGAAGTAAGAATATGCTTTGGCCATGTGCACACATGTGACTGCTGTACCCCCAGTCCGGGACCTGGGCAGTGCTGTGGACATTACAGGCTGGGGAACCTCACTGGGGATTGAAGAGGCTTCACAGGACTGGGGCGGGGCAGGGGTGGAGGGGTGGAGAGGGAGGTGGGGAGGGCTAGGACAAGGAACATACTTCACCTGGTATTTAAGGCCTGAGCACCATAGCGGGAGCCCTCTCTGCAGCTTTCCTGCCCTTCCTTATTGGGGACTGTGTGTTTCATCATCTTCCTGGTGGTTTGGTCTTTGAATGACTCTCCTTGTAGAAAGCCTGCACAGTACCTGCATTCTGGCCTGTGCCACTCTCTTCCAGTATAGTTCATGGAAGCTCCTCCAAAGAGGCAAAGCCCTCAGGCATGTTAGAATCATCAGTTGACTTTTTAAACTTAGAAGGTTACTGTCCAGAACTTGAGCTAAGATCACAGGGTATCTTGATGTGCATCCTATACAGTGGTTTCTGTGTCATTTCCCTCATAGTGACAAGGTCATCGCAGTGCAAACCAGCCATTGATGAAGCTCAGCCTGTGTGGAAACAAAGATTTTTCTTGATCTCATTGGTCAGGTGACTACATAAAGCAGGTAGAGGAGCTCCCTTTGACTCTCTCCTCATTGGACATCACTTATGCACAGCACATCTGAACCTCGAGGCTGAGTAACTCTGTTTGCAGTAGAAGACTGTGCACTGGGGTTAGTGCAACTCCTCATCAATGGCAGGGAGAGAAGAAAGATTGCCAGTTGCTGTGGTCCCTGAGTTACATAAACATGTGTGTGCACACATGTCCACACACATGCACGCGCGCACACACACAGAGGTTACATCCACAGGATCTCTGGCTATTGGGCTGATGCACACACAGATCTGCTCACCAGGACATTTGCCATTATAAAGTCAGTGAGGAGTTTAAAGGCTGTATTGCTTCCAGGCCCATTGGCGGGCTGTCCTTGGAGTTTAGCCTCCCACCTTACCTATGAGGCCGCCCCTGTGGCAGGGAGCCGTCTTGTCAGAAATCTGTTCCAAGAAACTGTGTTCTTGGTTCTCATCATTGAGTTGGCAATTTCACCGGTAGAGTTTGGTTTGCTGGATTGGAGTTGTTGTGGAACTGTTTTCTGCCTCAGTTTTGTGAAGACAGTAAGAAATCTCAGTGGTATAGCTCTTTTCATCTGTAAAATTCATATTTTGAAGGCTCCTTTGCTTGGTGACATAAGAACACAGGAAATGAACAAGCTTACTCCAATAGCATCACAAGTCTTTATAATGTTCGTGTCTGCTAATTTAAGAATTCTCTATCTTAAAAGTTGCAGGACATAGCCAGGTGCACACCTATAATCCTAGCTAGTCAGGAGGCTGAGATATGAGGATTGCAGTTCAGAGCCAACCTGGGCAGGAAAGTCTGAAACTCTTATTTCACAAAGCTCAAAGTGGAGCTGTGACCCAAGTGGTAGAGCTCTAGCCATGAGCACAAATGCTCAGAGACAGTGCCAACGCCTGGAGTTCAAGCCCCAGAACCAATACACAAGAAAAGTTTCAGAACACACAATCAACACACATTATTTCTTTACACTAACCACACTGAGTTATTAGTTGAAGTGTTTTGTGTCCCTATGAGTGTACCTCGGATTCTGAACCCCCCACCCACGCCCCACAGTGCCTAGTAACAGCACTGACTTTGCTCATCTGGTTTCACAGTTACACGATTATGCATCTTCCAAGTAGATGGCAATACTCTGGAGAGCCGGGGCTCTGTCCTCCTCCCCCCTGCTCTACCTCACACAGCACCTGACCCCTAGTGAACGTCAGTAATTTGGAATGTAGTCACCAGAAGATGCTGTGAGCAGACTTAGTTCATGCTGGGCTGGGTTACCATTACTGAGGCTCTTTCTCAAGTGCTTGTGAAGTCTGCCGTGCCCCTAGAAATTGAGTCTGGGTGCCGTGGGGGATACCTTCATTCAATTACCGCCGCCTGGCCGCCACCACGTCCTTGTTATTCTGCAGACCGGTTCTGCTCTCCTTAATGGCATCTCGTGCTGAAAGGAAGTCAAATGCTACAAAGGAGTTTCTGAAAATGGATTTCAAAATAAAAGAATTGCTTTTATTAAGTATTTAATAAGAACTTCCAGTCCCTTCCTCCCAGATCAAAAGAGGTGGAGATTGAAGCCACCGTAGAGAACACGAGCCTCCTGGGAGGGCAGTTTTATGAATGTCAAACACGTCCTCAGCTTTTAACTGCAGCATGGAACCTGCTCCCTGGGCACCTGGGACAGTGCAGTGGCACTTTGGGGACCCTGAGATGGGCAGGGCTGTGCTCTAGCACAGGCCAGATCTAAGAAGAGGGCTCCCAAAAGGCCTTAAATAAATTGCCATTGTAGACTGTCCTTTTTTTGTGGGGTAAATATTGCTTCATTGTTAAGGAATATTAAGCCTTGTTAAACTATTGCTATTATGTTCTTCCCTTCTTTAGTGCTTTTCTATGTTCCCAAATGTTCAATGGGAGACGTTACTCTGATCAAATGGTACTACTGGTGAATTTAAATTGCACTAATTCTCAATGCTGATGACCCCAGCTGGTTCTAAACTGCTAATGAGTGGCCAATATTAACAACTCTGATGACACCAGCTATTAGAGGGGGTGTGGATCCTCTAGCTGCCTTACACAGGGAGAGCAAGGTGTCAGGAGAAGTTGGCATCCCCTTGTAATGGCAGGTCATCATGCAGCTCCCACAGGTGTGGTACCCAAGGGAGGGTCCTGGAAGGGAGAGGACTAAGGCTGTGTTGTGAACCGCAAAGTCCTGAAATCCCTGTCATCAGAGAAAAGGGAGCACAGCCCCCAGTGGAGTATTAGGCAGTGTTCAGCAATAGACAAGTATAGCGAACCCATGGAAATGCCTAAGTCTTAGCAATTCAATATGAGAAATGAGGTTCCCTAATTCACTTAACAGCACAGTGTTCCTTTTAGGAGAGTTACAAAGGTAGAAACCCTTTCAAGAAAGCAGAGAGAAGCTATTAAACTTGTTTAGAAAGGAGAGCCAGAGGTGAGGGTTCTGAAGCTAGTATGATCCCAACTTCAGTCTCTTGTGGGCAGATGAGGAATGAATACTACTATTGAGAGCCAGGCCTTTGGGACTGGAGTATTGTAGATGCTAAAGGTGTAATTAAAAATTACTAAATAGCCAGATACCAGGGGCGCACACCTGTAATCCTAGCTACTCAGGAGGCTGAGATTTGAGATCAAGGGTTAAAGCCAACCTAGGCAGAAAAGTCCATGAGACTCTTATCTCCAGTTAACTGCCCCCAAAAAACAGAAGTGGAGCTGTGGCTCAAGTGGTTAGAGTGCTAGCCTTGAGCACAAAAGTTCAGGAACAGTGCTTAGGCCTTGAGTTCAAGCCCCAGGACTGGCACAAAAATAAAATAAAAATTCTAAATGAAATTAAAAAAACTAAGTATATAAAATAAAAACAAAGGATGCTGTAAACCAGAGATTATGTTAATACAATTCCCAAAGTGCCCTTCTTTCTTTAATAGAGGAGAAGAAAGGCAAGAGTTAGGAGCAAATGAAGAGCAGAAGTGTGCTTGCAAGCAGGACATTGTGTCTTCTTGCTCTGTTCAAGTATCAGTGGGTCCTTGCAAGTTCTAACCCATCTTCACAGAGGTCTTTTCTAAGTCTGGCTTTTGCTGATCAAACTGATCTCCCTGTTATGGTTTGGACATGAAATGTCTCCTCAGTCCCATGTACAAAACACTTTGGCCCCAGCCAGTATCACTATTTTGGGAGGTTCTGGAAACTTCCGGAGGTAGGGCCCAGTTAGAGGAAAGCGATCACGAGGGACATGCCATTGAAGGTTATTCTGGTCTCTGGCCTCTTCCTGTCTA